TGACCTTAGGTATGACTGTTATGAACAGCTTTGAAAAATGTCAAAATCTTTTGAAGTTACGCTAAAAAAACTTTTTCATTCCCCAAAAATAATTTTAAAAAATCATATTAAAAAAAATAAGCAAATTATCCAAAATCCCTTCACAACTTTTGGTCAGCCGCTCCTCCTCTCTTGTCAGGGAAAGTTGTGATGTGATTGAGTTTGACGGCCGGGAGGAGTTAACGAAAGTACGTTGGACTTACTATGCAAATTTCTACTAATTTGCCTAAGTTTAAAACATTTTTTAAAATACTCATCTAAATTTGACTGACTCAATGAACATACTGGATGAGATTATTTGTTTTTTTACGAAAGTAATGGGGAGAAACATGCCAAAAATATTTTTGGGGTACCACAGCGCCACCTATTGGACAAAATTCAAAAAATTTTCTGTGATTGTAGATATCATTATGACTGATAAGAATTGTAATTTTCTGTATAGAATATGTATTTTTCAGGAGTAAATGGGCGAAAACGTTTAAAGCCTATTTATAGCCTATAAGCCACGCCCACTTTTTAATCATTTTCAAAATATAGCTTAAGGGTCCGATGATTAACATATGTGCCTAGTTCTGTGGAAATCCATCAAGCCGTTTAGCTGAAACAAACTTTTTGACTCTTTAGCGCCCCCTATTGGTGAATCCACACAAAATCGGGTAGATAGGGCTTACCGCTCATACTTCATAAGGGTCTAGAGTCTCATAAATTTATCTTGAGAAATGGTGAAGATATCATCAATTACCACATGTTCTAGCTAGCACACTGATTTTGACATGGTGTCATTAGCCCAATTTTCAATATTTCTGCATTTTTCTTCATCACCACAACTTATCTTAGTCCATAGATCATATGTACGAAGTTTGAAGTTGATTCGACGAAAAATGACGAATAGGTGATTAAAAGTAAGTTTTGAGTTTTTTGCGATCTAGCAAAAAATCTCGTTAGGCGGAAATGGGCGTGGCCAATACAAAAAAGATGGAGAATCACCCAAGGATCATGTACATATAAAGTTTATGACTGTAGGACCTACGGTTTGGGAGCTAGTAGCTGAAACGTGTTGACCTCCGCAATAGCGCCACCTAGGTGACGCGGGGTCCAAATTTTCGAATCTGAGTAGCGGTCAGGATTTTGTATCAGACTGCCATGTCAGATTTTTCCTGGCAATTTCTGGCTCCTGCCCCCATACAAACGTAGCGGAGAAGAATAATAAATAATAATGAAAAATCCGTAGAAAAACAATAGGGTTCCCTGCCCTTTGGGCTTGGAACCCTAACTAGAACTGCAAGCAGTTATCAACGGGTTCCAAGCCCCCAGCGCCAGTCGCCCACCCGGCCCCGCCCTCACCTTCGCCAGTCCTCACGCGGTCCCGCCCCAAAAACACGTTCTCCCGCCGGCGTCCCGTCAGCTCACTTCAACTGGCGCAATGAAAGTAACACTCAGGATACGTCATTAAACCTGCAAATCCTATACACATCTTTCAGAGGCATGGCTGACTTCTCAATCGTGATTACAATGGAATTCCACTGTTTCCTTATTAAAGAACGTGAAGATTTAATGAGTGAGATTATCAAACAATAATCTATACATCAACAGAATATTACAAACAACATAAATACTTGATAATGTCTTTAGATTTAATTGATTTTCAACAAAAACAATGAGTTTCATTTTGTGACTTACTGACCAAATGTTTCAAAAAATCATGAAAAATACATAACTCATCATAAAATTACCAAAATATTCTCACATGGCAGTGTTGACATGTGGAATAATATGATGTTGTTTTTAAATCAGTAGACTCAAAGCTTTTTTGAAGAAAAATCAGTAAATATAACTGTAAGGGTCACAGTCAAAATTAAAATATTCATAAAAAAATAGTGCTACTTTCTAAAATTTATAGAAAAATCTCAGATCACCATAGGTACATGTTGAATGTTGTAATTGGTTTATATTTACTGTATACCTAAAAAACTTTCTAACAAAAATTAATTACGTTGTTGTCCAACTATACAGAAAAACTGGCAAAAAGTTAAAAAATCATTAAAAATCAATGCTTTCGTACAAAAATCTCAAAATATTCCGAGATTGCCTCTGTGATGTGAGAATTCTTTTCATATTTTTGTTGGGGTCATAAATGTAAAATTGTACCTACAATAAAATAATATTTGCGTTAGTTGCTGTAGACAAAAATATGTCCTATAATTAAACACAAGGGGGAGCTCAAATCAAGACGACATTTTTTTTTGTTTCATAAACCACCTAAGAGTGAACTTTATGGCAAATGTCAAGAAGATTGTGAAAACAGAATTTGCGCTACAATTGCTAGCCTAAAAATGTATTTTTGTAAATTTAAAGCGCAAACATCTTCGTGGAGCTGCGGTTTTCAATATCTAAGCTCATGGCTATCCAGTTAACATAATCTGGAAAACGTAGCTTCTTACATGAAAATAATGATTTTTAGGAAATTTTTCAAATTTGAAATTTTAAATGATCATAAACCACGCCCACATTGATCAATCATTACCATATTGATAATGTAGTCTTAAGACTCTACAATGATGACAACCACTAAGTTTCGTGCAGATCCATTTAACCAGGTCAGCAGTATAATGTATTGCTATTTATAGCGCCCCCTATTGTTTAATCAAGGTGAAAATCAAGACATACACTTGAATTGACCTTAGGTTTGACTGTTATGAACAGCTTTGAAAAATGTCCAAATATTTTGAAGTTATGCTAAAAAAACTTTTTCATTCCCCAAAAAATATTTAAAAAATTCATATTTAAAAAAGTAAGAAAATTATCCAAAATCCCTTCAGATCGTTTGGTCAGCCGCTCCTCCTCTCTTGTCAGGCAAAGTTGTGATGTGATTGGGTTTGACGGCCGGGAGGAGTTAACGAAAGTACGTTTGACTTACTATGCAAATTTCTACTAATTAGCATAAGTTTAAAACATTTTTTAAAATACTCATCTTAATTTGACTGAGTCAATGAACATACTGGATGAGACCATTTGCTTGTTTACTAAAATATTGAGGAGAAAAATGCCAAAAACATTTTTGGGGTACAACAGCGCCAACTATTGGACAAACTTCAAACTTTTTTCTGTGATTGTAGATGTCACTATGACTGATATAATTTGTAACTTTCTGTATAGAATATGTATTTTTCATCAGTTAAAGGGCAAAAAATTTTAAAGCCTATAAGCCACGCCCACTTTTTAATCATTTTCAAAATATAGCTTAAGGGTCCAATGATTAACATATGTGCCAAGTTCTGTGGAAATCCATCAAGCCGTTTAGCTCAAACTAACTTTTTGACTCTTTAGCGCCCCCTTTTGGTGAATCCAAACAAAATGGGGAAGGTAGGGCTTACCGCTCATACTTCATAAGGGTCTAGAGTCTCATCACTTTATCTTGAGATATGGTGAAGATATCATCAATTAGCACATGTGCTAGCTAGCGCACTGATTTTGACATGGTGTCATTAGCCCAATTTTCAATATTTCTGCGTTTTTCTGCATCACAACAACTTATCTTAGTCCATAGATCATATGTACGAAGTTTGAAGTTGATTCGACGAAAAATGACGAATAGGTGATTAAAACTAAGCTTTGCATTTTTTGCGATCTAGCAAAAAATCTAGTTAGGCGGAAATGGGCGTGGCCAATACAAAAAAGATGGGGAATCATCCAAGGATCATGTACATATAAAGTTTTTGACTGTAGGACCTACGGTTTGGGAGCTAGTAGCTGAAACGTGTTGACCTCCGCAATAGCGCCACCTAGGTGACGCGGGGTCCAAATTTTTGAATCTGAGTAGCGGTCAGGATTTTCTATCAGACTGCCATGTCAGATTTTCCCTGACAATTTCAGGCTCTTGCGCCCATATAGTTTTAGCGGAGAAGAATAATAATAAACTAGAACTGCAAGCAGTTATCAACGGGTTCCAAGCCCCCAGCGCCAGTCGCCCACCCGGCCCCGCCCTCACCTTCGCCAGTCCTCACGCGGTCCCGCCCCAAAAACACGTTCTCCCGCCGGCGTCCCGTCAGCTCACTTCAACCGGCGCAATGAAAGTAGCATTCAGGATTTGTCATGAAACCTTTTGCTTAGCCTATACTCATACCAGCATGTGACTGTGTGAGTGAATGGCTGAATGCAGACTTCTGCAGGCCTGGTAAGTCACGTGCTGTATTGGAAAGCAGAAGTTCAGGAAACGGAGCGGGATTTCAAATAATTGGAAGGTTTTTGGTTTGATTCCAAGTCTGACCAGAGAATGCTGTTGTTGTGTCTTTGGGCAAGACACCTTGGCTGCTGGTGCTGGGAGGGACCGGTGGTGTCAGTTTTCGGCAGGCCTCACCTCTGTCAGTGTGCTTCAGGGAAGCTGTGGCTACATTGTAGCTCATTCCCAGTAGTGTGTGACTGTGTGTGAATGGGTGAAAGACTGATTGTGTTGTTAAGGGACTAAGGCGCTATACAAATCCAAAACATTTACCATTTCAATATTACTGACAATGTTTAGTAAATGTATTAAAAATGTATTATTTTCATAGGAAATCCTCCAATGTTTTTTGAAAATCATCATGGGTCATGAGAAATCAAGTTTTGTTATTTTATAGTTTTTAAATATATATTTTTTTTTTCAATAAGACGATATATGGAGATTGATAATTGAACTGAATGAAACAAAACTGAATAAAATCCATATCTGATCTAAAGATTTCCTGCAATTTGTGCCAGTGGCCCCTTGCTATGCACATTCTTGTAACAGTTTTATCTGGCCATGGTCAAAATCACATAGTTATCTCTGGTCAAAATAAAACGAGTAGACATTTGGTCAAAATAAAACAAGTAGACATTTATTATGAGCACGAAATTGCCCAAAATTCAGTGAAACACTTCATTTTGTAAGTACAAAGATGTAGGATATGTAAATTAAAAATGATGGTACATTATTCAAACAATTGAATTAAAAAACAGCAGTTTATTGTATGTCAAATTTTGCCAATTGTGGGGGAGACTTTGTAGAGCAAACAATATTTTTACAACACTGTGCATTGAAATTAGGATTCCAGAAATTATATTGATTCAAGAGTACAGAAAACACTTTATTGTTATCTACATATGTAAATGTACAAATGATGTGTTACACAATGTATAGCAAAGTGGCAGAAGGGCATTCTGAGGCAAAGTGTCACGTTGGGAATGTTTTACCCAGGACATGAAAAAATCACAGACGGAAACGATGGCAAGTGAATAACAAATAATATTTATTAAGAACAATGTGAAACTGAAAACGGTGCTCCAAACTGGAACAGGAGGGATCAAGATCTAGAACGGGAAAGCAAACTGGTGTTAGAATCACGAAACCCTGGAACCAGAGAACCAGAACTGGAATTGTTTGGAGAACTATTCTTACTGGAGATGATCGGTGTTGGTGAGGCAGGGCTGGGGCTTTGGGGCCAGGTGGGGACAGAAGAGCAGCAGAGAATGAGGATCCAGGATGGGATGAGGAAACAGGTTGCGAGGCAGACAGTGAGGCAGGATATGATGCAGATCCAGAGGCTGGTAGTTAGGCAGGCTGGGAAGCAAACAGGACGACAGGTGGGCGGCGTGGTCACATGATGGTTGCTGATTCCACAGATTTCGGTTGTGTTGTTTCAGGAACTTCATCTGGTGGGTGATTGTTCCTAGTGGAGATTGAACAAAAGAAGAGTGCTGTAAAATGAAGTCTTTAACAAAGGAAAATAAAAATAGTACTAGAATAAGTGAATTTGTGAATATCTAAATGGATACATTTTTATACATTGAAACAGTGATGGCACAACACAAAGTAACATTTCAATGTCCATTATCAAAACCACAAGTAAGTGTGATACTGTCATACACTTTTTTATGGATAAAAAGTGTATTTCACATGCTAAATATACATTAAATGGTAAGATATGGTGTGGTATGGTATGGTATATATGTATAAGAGTCGAAATAAGTTTAGATGATTTTGAAGCTAAATTGATTTTGTATGAATGAAACGGACCTCTATGTGTAATTTGTTATGGTCAGCTCTGATGTACACCCGTCCATCTATCTGTGATTGTCTGTCTTTCCCCTTGAGGCTATTTGTCCTGCAGTCCTTGTCTGTCTGTCCCCAGTTCCTGTAACTGTATGTCTGTGTCTGTTCCTGTCAAGAATGATATTTGAATACATTCATGGTAACTGTAATAGGTGGGAATAACTTCTATATGTATGGTTTTGGGATCAATGTCTTTGATGTAAACATGATCAATTAGAGTATTATTTTCGGTTGTTGGACTTGTTACTATTTGAGTGTATCCTTGCAATTTCATGAAGCTGACAAATGAATTAGAAACCAGTGCATCGTCATTCATGTCACCCATGACTATTTTGGTTCCTGGAAATTCATTGAAATAATGCAGTACAGGTTGTAGATTGTCTTTGAATTTCTGAAGGTTATATGATGGTGGTTTGTACAACAGCATATAATGATGGTTTAAAGTCTGTGTGCTAAAAAGCAAAGCTTCCAGGTTGTTGCAATTGAAAGCCATACTTTTACACATAATGCTGTTTTTGTGATAGAAACCAACACCACCACCATTTTTGCTTCTGAAAGTAGAAAATAGTCCAGTTTCATCGTATGAGTCAGATCTGGTTTTGTGGTGAAAAGTCCAACCTGGCAGTGAAATGCTTTCAGAGGGATGTGTTTCTTTTAACCAAGTTTCTGTCAGACAAATTATATCGGCTGTGAGTAATTTTTGGTTGCTCTTGACATCCTGTATGTGATTCTTGAGACCTTGCACATTATGAAGACAGACTTTAAAAGTGCAGTTTGGCATTGAAACTGGTGTGTCGATAAAGTTTGGCATTAATTTCAAGTTTTCTTCCACATCACTTCTTGCATAGATTGCTTTAGCTTTAAAATCTTGGATAGTGAGGTGTTCTAGTGATGTAACACGACTTAAAGCTACATATGCTTGTCCAGCAGAAAAAATCCTTTTAAAAGAGACTACTGCTTTCTGTAGTGTTAGGCCTTGGACTTTATGTATGGTGCAAGACCAAGCCAGCCGCAGTGGAAATTGACGTCTAACCCCCTTTTCAAGTTTGTCTTCATCGGGACTAATTGGTGTAGCATTAGTCAGCTCGGTGTCTGAAGTTGGAAACTTGTGTCGTAGTTGTTGGCCTATACTTGGGTTATCAAAGTTAACATAAATGATGTGTGGGAAGCTATTGTTACTTAGAAATTGTATGCGACAAACAGTACCAAACACACCATTGACAAGTCCATCAGAAACATCGATGTTTTTAATGAGCATTACACGAGCTTTAGGAGCAATACTTAGTAATTTATCTAAATAGGTTTTCTTGCCAAAATCAAGTGTTGAGGGTATTCTAGTGGTACGGCCAGTCTGAGGGTTTTTATGGAAATCTTGGGCTTTGATTTGTACAATGTCTGTACATTGTTTATGCAACATGTTGAAGTTATGATTATCAACATCACTGTTTGTTGCAAAAAGATGCAGAATTTCAGTGTCTTCACCCATGCCTGTTTCACATCGTTTGAGAAGTGCTTCGTCTTGTGGGTGAAGTGGTTGGTCTTTTTTGTGTTTCCTTAAACGGTTAAGTGTTACAGCAAAGTCTTTGTTTTTCTGTCGTACTATGTCTGTGAGTTCTACATGACTGAAACTGTTTTGCCACAAATTGGAACCAATGGGGTCCTTGTAGAGTGGAGTCCCTTTGACAGGTGGCAACTGATAAAAATCACCAACAGCTATGACGGAGACATTACCAAATGAAGAAAAGTCTGAACACTGTTTGATCTGACGCAGTCTACCATGGATATATGTTAAAAGCTTGTTATCAACCATTGAGATTTCATCTATTATCAAGATTTGTAAATGTTTCAGGGTTGCTCTTAATGTGTTTATTTTTTCCTCTCTTAAAGGTTGGTATGGTAATGAAATATTATTGCCAATTGCAAAGCTATTATGTATTGTTGTGGCATTGATATTTAATGCAGCCACTCCAGTGGGGGCAGTCAATAAAACATGAATATCATCAGGATAATTAGATAATCTGGATAGTATTCTGGTTGTTTCATAGGACACGGCTTTTACCAAATGGGACTTGCCTGTTCCCGCTCCACCTGAAATGAAAACATAAAAAGGGCTTGGATTGTGACCGTTTACTTTATCTAAGCACCACTGCCGGATTTTATAAAACACGTTGCTCTGCTGCTGATTTAGAGAACGCATTAAGGATTGTGCTTCCTTGTGTGAGACTATCTGTTTTTGAATGTGAAATGATAAAGCTGGTTTTGTGATTGGCTCTAGATCTGGAATAACTTCTTGTTCACCAGGATTTGGATTGTTATCTAAAGATCTGTCTTCCAAACATTCTAGTCGGTCTAGTTCTGCCTCAGGACACAGCTCTGCCCAAACATCTTCTTGAAATCCAAAGTGTTCAATATCTTCCTGTATGTTTTGTAAATCTTCTGCTTTGATTTCAAACTTGGATCTGTTGAATTCTACTACGTCTTTGACAGACTGGATGTTTTTACTACTGTTTGTGATTGAGCCGGTCTCATAAAACTCTTGAAATGTTGTAAATTGTGATGGTTTTAACTGGTTTTCCGTGTAATAAGGAAGGAACAACTGAAGCTGGCTTTGATAGTGTTTCTCAGGATCTTGTTCTTTAGAAAAACGAGCATATCTAACAACAGCTACATTTGTCCTTGTCCGCTTCCTTACACAACCATTGTTGTTTAATAAACTAACCACTTCTGGTCTAGATTTCTCACTGTTTGGTACATTTCTGTACTCTGAGGCAAAAGTAGCTATGCACATGTCCATAAATTCACTGGACTTAGGCCTGCTTTTGTATCGATCAGTAATGTTTGTCATCCAGATCTGATTACCATTAGCACTGTTTTGAATGACATTAAGAGGTAAGCTCATTCTGACAATGTTGTCACCTGTTGGAACAAATGTGACTTTTCTAGAGCCCTCTTTTAATCTCATGTTTGTTAGCCGATACACACTTTCTTGAGCAGAAACTTCTCTGTTATGCAGAAACACATTCCCTAATTTGTTAAGCGCTTGTTTTGCATCCAGGTTTTCATTATGTTTGATTTCATTTTGTGCATGTTTTAATAGCAAACCCATTTCTCTTTCTGCTTTGGATATGTAGGAAATGATATAAACAATGCATGCATATGCATCACAGACAAACTGGATGTCCATGTTTGCATTCCAGCAACGTAGCAGGTCTGTGTTATACTGATTAACCCAGATGTCGTTTATGTTTCGTTTATGGACGACAGTTGTTTTTGTAGAGGTCAGTTTGTAGGCTGTTTCAAATGTAGTCTGGTCAATACCAATGGAATTAAACAAGTCATCTATGCTACTAAATGTGTTGTTTTCACTGGTCAAAGCTTCTTTAACTTTGGTCATGATATGCTTGGCTGCCTTTTTTAAATCTGAAGATGACTTGTCAGATGGGGTTTCCTTATTATCAACATCCGGTTCCTGTTTACATATGAATGTATTGTTGCTTGGTGGTCGGGGAAAGTGAAACCTGCAAGTTGTGTGATTTTTTCTGCAACTTTTAGAGTGTTTTTTGCTATGCATTTGAACACTATGTACCACTTCATGGAGAGGATCACTGTCAGGTGGGAGGTCGCATGTAACATATTTATCTACAAAAGCTATGACTTCAGCGTCTGTGTTGACTCCTATTTTAGGCCCGTCGGTCCAAAATAGACAATGAGTGTGACATGATCCACGTTGTTGAAACTCTACTCTATAAAAATAATCAATGATTTTACCAATTGGCTGAGCGGGAGACATGATAACATCTTTTAAAAAAGATCTAAATCTATAGTCAAACATTCTGGCTGCTGTCACTGGATTGTTTTTCAATAAGTCACATTTCTGTGCCCAGTCCATGTCATGAATATTGCCTTGAATGTTTTCTATAGCCATAAAAGCTTCCATAAATTCTGGCCATCTTAAATCTGCTGAAGAAAAGGAAGCAAACCATGTAGGAATGCCAAGTTGTCTAACATAAGCAAACAGATCTTTTTGAACTCCCTGCCAAAATACTGGTGTACCTCTAATGGGCTTCAAAAACTTATAGCCCATGTCAGCATTTAAAACATTCTTCAAAAAGTCTGTATTGCCCAGCATGGATGATGTAATGTTGGTGTTGTCTAAGCCATGGTAGCCCTTTCTCAGTGCAATGGAAACATTTGACACAACTTGATTAACTTCTGACAAATATTGTGCATAAAAGATGTAATCCAAGTTCTTGCCAAATCTGCCATCAGCATTGAGAATTCGGGTGTTTAAATATTTGCTTAGTGTAATCCTTTGCTCTCTTGCATCATGAAATGTACCTGTTCCGTTGGGAAACAGAACTGGAAAGCATTTAGCCTCGTTAGAAGTATCGGTAAGCAATCTGACTGGAGTATTTCCCTCAGCTGGTGCTACTGATAAAACACTGTCAAAATGGTTGTCTAGTATTTCTTGGGCAATGTCTACTGGTTGCATGCATGTGTCCAAAAACATCCCATGCTGTTGTCTATCATTAAAATGATCATCGCTAACAAGGTCTTCAGACTCTACCTCTGTGCCACTGCCATCTCTTTTGCCAGGATGTTCACACTCTATTTCAGCTCTATTGCTGTCTTCTTCCAAAGTGACGTTGTCGGTTTCAGAGGTAGAGTCTTCAGACTCTTTTTCTAGGGGATTTGTCCATGCACTGTTAAATTGTACATCTTTGTAAAAAGTATTGTGAGATTTAAGGTATGCAATTGCATTATGTACTTTCAGAGCATTGACATACTGATAGTCATAGTGACCCTTGTACGTCAGCTTTCGCTTCAGTTTGACTTTAATCATTAGATTCTGATCATCTAATCTGGGTAGAATGTTACTCACAGTTTCTGTATTAGATGGAACACAAGTCACAGGTCCATGGACACCATTTTGCCCTCCCTTTGGTAAGGCTAAAAGTTTCATAAACGGAATGTGCTGTGCCACTAGATGTTGCTCAAGAGGATTCAACGTACTAAGTTCTACAGGAATAGAATCTAGGTGCATATTGTTTGCAACACTTTCTTCAGGGACTTTTCCATTGAGTATTTTACGATGACAAGTAAAACAGACCCACAATTTACATGCAGGGCTAACCTCTAGATGGCATTTGGAAACTGAAGACTGTCCACACTTGTGTAAATAAGTGTCAGTGATGCATTTTTTTGCCACAGATGAAATGAATGAACCTCTAATTTCATACTGCTGTGTTTTACATTCAACAACTTGATGTTTAAAAAGTAACCGATGACAAACACAACAGACGAATTGAGGGCCAAATTTAACCTTTTCTCTAAAAAGCTGAATGACATTATCTATGAATTTTTTTCCAGTCATGAGATTTTGTCGTCTACGTTTTCCGTGCTCTTTAACAGAATCGGCATAAGCAGTTACATTTCTATACCGTTCAGAATTAGACTGTTTGATGCGGTTACGGTGGTCAACCTTATTTCTATATCTTTCTACGTTCTGTTTCAATAACTGAAGTTTAGAGTGTTTACTTTTGGCTGCATAAGTGGTTTTGCTGGCAAGTTTGAGTCTTGCTCTCAGTTCAGGCTTTTTGTAGTAGTTTTGTTTATTAGCCAGTTTGAGTCTAGCTCTCAGTTCAGGTTTGTTTTTATAGTTTTCTGTACTATCATGTCTGAGTCTTGCTCTCAGTTCAGGCTTTTTGTAGTAGTTTTGTTTATTAGCCAGTTTGAGTCTAGCTCTCATTTCAGGTTTGTTTTTGTAGTTTTCTTTACTGACATGTCTGAGTCTTGCTCTCAGTTCAGGTTTGTTTTTGTAGTTTTCTTTACTGTCATGTCTGAGTCTTGCTCTCAGTTCAGGGTTATTTCTATATGTAATGACACTTAATTGCTTCTTGTGTAATCTGTACTTAGGATCGTCCTTATACAATTTCTGTAACATCATTTTTTTGCTTTCCCTTTTCTCAATGTCTTTATTATACAGAGTTCTCTTTCTCCTGTTCTCTCTGCTTATCTTAGATGGAGATAGTATGTCCTTGTCACCTTTAAAGTGACAGTAATTACATGAGATCAGGTTAAAACATGTGTTAGTTTTATCTTTCACACATGCGATTGGCTCATAATGACATTCATTACAGTGTTTCAGATAAATACCCTTGGTGTTGTCTAAAGTACTAGAAGAGCCATATTGTAACCATTTTCCTTGAGTGTAAGTGTAAATATGGGTGTGAAAAAAGTCTGCAGCTGCTTGTATCTCAATTTCTGTAGCCCAGGATCCAACTATCTTTATGCCTGTTTGTGTAACATACTGTTGTACTGATTCAAATTCCTGTCTGATGTAACTTGAATAGAGGTCAGAATTTTGAAGAATTTGATTAACAACAGCCCTGCGAATCCAGCTATGCAACTCTTCATTCCCAGTAATTACAAATGCAAGAGCACGGAAAAAGCAGTTGCCGTCTGGCTGGATGTGTTTAGTGGTACAAGGTAACGGTTCATCTAATGTAATACTTTCCCAAAGACTTTTCACCCTTTCTAAACTTGGAACTATCTGTAGTTGGGTGCAAAAGTTTCTTTTGTCTTTAGAAGTCAGAGGATTGAAAGTAACAGTGCTGTTGATATTTTCTGAAATTATGAAAACAGATGTATCATTTTGTGGCACTTCTTCAATTATTGCTTGATTCAAAGAAGTGTGATGATTTTCAGTTACTGAGTCTACATCAAGGGAAGTGGTGTCATTAACTGCAATATCTTCTATTTCCTGAAGTACTACTTTATCAAAACTATCATCATCAAAACTAGTACATATTGACTCTGCATCATCTTGAAAAGAACTATTTTGCGTATGGATGAGCTCACAACGAGATGGAGATTCAGAAAGAGACTCAGATGTGTCACTGACTGCAACATCTTCAATTTCTTCAACTACTAACTGATCAAATGTATCGTCATCAAAACTATCATCATTTCCACTGATTAACTCTACATCATTTTGGCAAGAAGCAGTTTTACTTTGGATAGGTTTACTCATAGATTGAGCTGTCACCTTAACACCGGTCATTTCAAAAGCTGTGTCCTCTTCATTTGCATTGTCAGCACACAAAGAGTGAGAGAGATTGATTAAATGTGTATAAACTTGGTCTAAAGTATCAAAGTGTGCTACTATGCTTGTGCCATTCAACTGCCAGAGACCATCATGACCACGTGAATGTGGATCAAAAACAGAAAACTGAGATTGTTCTTTCAAAACTGCACATGTGTTTCTACTAATTGTAAACAGACAGCCGTCATTGTCAAATATAGCTCTCTGTAATGCAACGTCCAAAGGCATGGCAAAATCTGAAACATCTTCATGGTAAATCTGCTGATGAAGATGTCCTGTGAAGGTCTGCATGTATTCCAAAGAGAACTTGTGATGATGGAATGTGTGCTCTGTGGGTAACTCTTGAACAAAAACATAACCACTGCCTTCTGCATCACTGATCATGTTTTGCTCTTTCATGTAAGTGTATAAACTATCACCACTTATCAAGATATTGTTAATGTCTTTTCTTGACCATGTGGAAGCCATTTTGACAGTGTTTGTCATGATGGCTGTAATGCTGTTTGGTGCACACTGTTTAAATCGGTTGCACCCAAAACGCTTATGACCTTGATGAAATGAACCTTTGACAATAGAATGAAAAGTGTTCAAACTTTCCTGATTTGATGAGGAAGATGCAATGGTAACACTTGAAGCTGCAACACCAGGAGCATCATGGACCTTCTCAGGTTGAACACTCGTCTCCTTCTCTTTACATTCCTGTGAAAACAAACATAAAAATTCAAACATTAGAAGAAAATCTATGAATAAAATGGGCATGTTTTCACTTGGGGAATATGTCAAACCTGTTGCTTTGTAGCATCTCCTAGGTCAACAGGTCCTTGGTCTTGGAGAGCAACTGCGTTCTGTTAAAATAAAAAAAGTTTTATAATATTTAGGAAATATAAGTATTGGAAAGAATATGTGTAGGATTAAGTACGCTATTTAACATCAATAATCAGACTATGTCATATAGGTCCTACCATTTTGCCTTTTGGTACAGGCGATGTAACACTGTATTTGTCTTCGTTCATCTGGAGATGTAGAACCTCAGCGCAGTCTTTCAAATGCTCCTGGGAGTGACAGCAAACCTGTTGGAAATCAAATCAGGATATTTACAATATATTCTAGTATTGTGAAATTTACAATTATTTGTCAAGCACATGATGTGATGTCAAAAACAACAATCATATTAAAATCCAATGTCAGACCTGGTCCTTGGTGACATCTGTGCGTGAAACAGATTTTTGTTCTTGGACAGCAGCTGCATACTGTTAAAATGAAAAGGTTTATTTAAATAAGCAAAGAATATAATTATTTGAGTAAAAACTTTAGAATGAGCATCATTCAATGAAAAAAGCTGATAGGTCTCACCGTTTTGTCATTGGGGGCTGGTGATGGCACACTGGCGTCATCAGTTTTCTCTTTCAGTTTTTGAAGGACCACACTGCAGTCCTTCAGGTACTTCTGTAAGTAAATGAAGGGAATCATTGTAATCCAAAGGTTTCAAGTAAAGGCAACAAAACTGATTTGGTTTCTTTGAATGAGAGTTTATTCACCTGATGACGAGACATCAGTGTGCCACGTGAGCCTTTTGGATGAATGTGAGATGTCTGAAAGAAAATGTCATTCAAGGTTTTATGTTAATTTTTCCATTATTGTAGAAATGTGTACCTCTTAAGCAATATTACAACTTTATATTTTAAAAGTATTGTGTGTGTAAATCGTAATTACCTTTAAACTCTCTGCAAGTGTTGGCCATTCATGATCATCAGAGGGCATGATCACTTGCTCCTTTATTGGTGCTGTTGCACTGGCAGGGGGCTTCTGGATCGTTGTTGCCTGTCCCTGAAATAAAAACAGTATACAATGCATGTAATTACTTTGTGCATGTTTTACAGGAGGACTTGACCAACAAATAGGAAAACAATGATAAAAAAATAACAAACCTGCGTGTTGACAACACTTTTCTCTTTTCCAAAGGACACTGGCTTTCCTTCAGGTTGTACCACCTGTCATCAAAATATGAACAGATTGTAAATTCTTAGGTGACAAATATCTAAAATTAATAATGAATTAAAGATTAATATCAAAACATTATAATGAAAAAACATATTTCTTCATATTTACCTTTTTTTGTTGGACATCTGGTGAAAGCACATCTGGACATCCAGTACTGTCATTTTCCAAGACATGCAGCAGATCTTCGTGGAAGTATTTGGGATTAACTTCAAAACAGACTTCGGCCTGAACATTTTGATGTAGACAATATTAGAAAAACTCATATCAATCAACATGACGAACATCAAATAAAATCTCATTTATCAAAAACAATAGGGTTCTCTGCCCTTTGGGCTTGGAACCCTAATTAATTAAAATTAATCATTCACCTCATGAAGAAGAATTCTCTTTGAAGATGATCTCTGCTCCTTTGGACCAGCTGGAGTAGACCTCTGAAAAAATTAATGAAATTTTTATATTACATGATTGTTGAAAATCTAAACAGCCAATTAATGTCTGCAGTTGAAATAAAAACATAGAAAAACAATTTACCTTCTTGCCAGGCAAAACAACTTTCCACTTAGATTGGTCTGCTTGGGGTTGAATGGGCTTTGCGTGTTGAACGACCACTCTAGCAGCAGACTTCTTGGGGGTAACCTGGGCCTTCTGACTTTGGAGGTGCAGGTATGTTTTTTGCCAGAGCAATTGTGCAAAAATGTCCATACCATCACTGTCACTGAGATGAACCTATAGAAAATAACACATTTTTAGCTAAAGCTAATACCTCTTAATCATTAAAAGTCAGTAAGCTTCTCACTTACCCCATCTCTGCCCCACAAATCCAGGCGATGAAAGGGGAAGTTCTCAGCAATTGATGAGTATGGGACATCTGAAAGAAATATATTTTGTTAACAATTAGTTTTTCCAGTTAGAAGCATTTTGTATAGTGCACACTAAAGTTCAACATACCCATTTGTACTGAGACCCTGTGAAACATCATCCTCAGATGGTCCTGCACAACCGTGTCATGGCTCAGTCTTGGAGGGAAATCCAAAACAAAAACCTGTTTTCCAGAAATTTTACATGACATTAAAAATCATTGTAGAAAAAAGCACCAGAATATAAATTTGATTCAGTAATTGCCTTTTTAATGGCACATTATTTGTAATTGCATCTATCCTTACATTTGGACAAAGAGTGGAAATGGTGTTCAAAAGACACTTGAAGTCTTTTTCTGCTTCAGAAATAGGACTGTCCAGATTGTTGCTTGGAGCGAGCAGACACACTGCATCTGGATCACGTGGGAGAACTAAATGCCGGACCTCAGTGGTAAGGTGGGCTGCTGTACCACCAGGAACCGACAGGTAGCCAAAGGACAGCTTCCCCTCAGGCACCTTCACATAGCCATCCACAATGGCTCGGAGATGTGAATCTCCAATGACGAAGACAAACTAGAAGAAGAAACAATTGTTTAATGAAGGACCTATGAAGATAAAAATCACAAAGCACTTTAGAAACTAAAGAACACACAGCAATCTGTGTGTCAACCTATAAGCACATAATATAGTTTAATATTAATATAAATTATTAGCTAAATGTACCTTCTTGTCTGAAGACTCTGGTGGGATGATGACTTTCAAACTTTTTCCTGTGTTAGGCGACAAGGGCCAACGACAAACCCTGTGCCTGAAGCCTGTTCCGTGACCTAATGGTAAGATGAAGGAAAAAAAATAACACAATATCAATGTAATGTAAATATGTAATTGTAAAGTGTGTCACATTAATTTATCTGAAATTTCTCAGTGTGCATACACCATGTCAATTTCAAAATATGCAACAAAGGTTTTCAAAAAAAGCATTTGATGTTTTGGAAAATAACTAAATATGTAACTTACGTGGAGTAAAAGTCGTACAGCTTGGCAGAATCTCGAACAGCTCTTCCATAGGCTTCGGCATAAACTGTCTGTTCTTCAAGGCCTGAGCTCTACGGTACCCTTTGCCACGAGGCATCTACAACAAGGAAAAAAAATACCATAAATTTAGTACTATGCATGATCACTAAACAAATACATTACACACTAATGTAATATCATGTATTTATTCTATTAAATAGGTTATATAGAAACCTGAGGGAATGTATATCTTCTATTTAATAGACAGATTACCTATTAAGCAACAAAGACCTGTCTTGTTATTGGTCATTAGTATTTCTTTTTGTCTATTTATATTTGAAGTTGTTTAAATGAAGACAACTGAACTTCTTTGGTTTTCTGAAGAAGTTTGCTTCTCATCTGAGGAGCTTTGTCAATTCTAACTGTAAAAAGGGCGAGTGAAAGTTCTCAGTCATCCAGGTCATGATACTCCAAAGGGTTCAAATGAAGGCAACTGGACTTCTTTGGTTTCTTGAAGATGTTTCTCTTCTCATCCAAGGAGTTTTGTCACTTCAAACTGGAATATGGGAGAGTCAAGCCTATAAGCTGTAGCTATCTATTGTTAGTCAATGAGCCAAAACTACTGTGGGTACCTCGGCTCTCCATCACCTGATGAGTCGCTAGCCTCTATTGTGAGGGATTCAAGATGGCACCACAGACGGCTGCCGTGGTACTTTGGTGCGCTGTTTTTGTTCTGTTTTTGTGTGTAAATTGCGTATCTGGGTACTCCTATTCAAGAGAAGAACTCATAAGTTACAACACTATGATTCCGGTGGACTTAACCTCATTTTTTGTTGCATCTGTGGCCGATTCAATATCAACTTTGATCAGGAAAGTAAGACACAGGAGGAGAGATAAATGAGCGGGCGCTCTCGTGCGTCTGAGGAGACGGGGACTGTGCACGGCTCTGCCTGGCATCTTCCTCTCTAATGTACGCTCACACCGCAACAAAATGGACGAGCTGACCCTGATGAGGAACATAAACAGAGACTTCTCGTCATCTGGGGTTCTATGCTTCATTGAAACATGGCTCAGTGAGGACACCCAGGACTGCGCGTTCCAGCTGGAGGGGTCTCACCTCATCCGCGCAGATCGGAAAGTGACTGTCTCCGGCAAGACCACAGGTGGAGGTGTGTGTTTTTAAATCAATAATGGTTGGTGCACAGATGTCACAGTGATCGTGCAGGATTGTTCTCCATCTCTGGAATATCTTTTCACAAACTGTAAACCATTTTACTCTCCGCGGGAGTTCGCCTCATTCATTCTAGGCGCTGTTTACATCCTACCTGACGCGGACGTGCACGAGGCTCAGCGTGTGCTCGCGGAAGAGATACTGTGCATGGAGCAGACGTAGCCGGACTCTCTCATCGTTGTACTTGGAGACTTTAACAATGCAAATCTGAGCCAGGAGCTTCCCAAATATAAACAGTATATCAAGTGTCCAACCAGAGAGGACAAAAACCTGGACCACTGTTACAGCACAGCAATGGGAGCCTATCATGCAGTGGCGCGCGCTGCGCTTGGACTCTCTGACCACGTGACCATCCATCTGATCCCAGCTTACAAACAAAGGCTAAAACTCTCCAAGCCTGTTGTGAAGTCAACAAGACAGTGGAACACAGATGCCGCAGATGAGCTTCGCGCATGCTTTGAGACCACAGACTGGGAGGTAATAAAAGCCACCTCAGACAGTTTAGATGAGTTCACAGATACCGTCACCTCCTACATCCACTTCTGTCAGGACAGCATCATACCATCATACACCAGGGTGAGTTATAACAATGACAAAGCCTGGTTTACCCCTAAACTCAAACAGCTGTGGTTTGAAAAGAGAGATGCATTTAAAAGGGGGGACAAGGACTCCTACAGAGACACTAAATACAGGTTCAGCAAAGAATTGGTCAAAGCAAAACACCAGCATCATGACAAAATGCAGCAGCAAATCACTGAAAACGACCCAACCTCTGTGTGGAAAAGTTTCAGGAACATCACCAACTACAAACCCAGAACCCCCGCCTCCACCGATAACACACACATTCATGAAGCAGATGTAAAGAAGCAGTTCAGGTCTCTTAACACACACATTCATGAAGCAGATGTAAAGAAGCAGTTCAGGTCTCTTAACACACACATTCATGAAGCAGATGTAAAGAAGCAGTTCAGGTCTCTTAACACATGAAAAGCCCCGGGCCCTGATGGCGTGGCTCCTGCCACTCTAAAGCATAGTGTTTACGAGCATCTTCAACTCCTCACTGGAAGAATCTCATGTGCCTGTCTGCTTCAAGATCTCCACCATAGTCCCTGTCCCCAAGAAACCAAGAATCACTGGACTAAATGACTACAGACCTGTGGCTCTAACATCTGTGGTCATGAAGTCATTTGAGCACCCAGTTCTCCCCCACCTCAAGACCCTCACAGCCCCCCTCCTGAACCCCCTGCAATTTGCCTACAGAGCAAACAGGTCTGTAGATGATGCAATCAATATGGCTCTACAATTCATCCTGCAGCATCTGGACTCCCCAGGTACCTACGCCAGGATATTGTTCGTGGACTTCAGCTCTGCATTCAACACAATCCTGCCAGACCTCCTCCAAGACAAAATGTCCCAGATGAACGTGCCTAACCCCATCTGCAGGTAGATCACTGACTTCCTGACAGACAGGAAACAACAAGTCAGGCTGGGGAAGAATGTCTCGGACCTACGAACCATCAGCACTGGCTCACCACAGGGCTGTTCTTTCCCCTCTGCTCTTCTCCCTGTACACCAACAGCTGCACCTCCAAACATGAGTCTGTCAAACTAATTAAGTTTGCTGACGACACCACCATCATCAGACTCATCTCTAATGGGGATGAATCAGCTTACAGAATGGAGGCTGAACGGCTGGTGTCCTGGTGCAGCCACAACAACCTGGTGCTAAACACCCAGAAGACAGCGGAGGTTGTTGTGGACTTTAGGAAACACACACATCCCATCACCCCCTTAAACCTGTCTGACACTCCCATCATGATGGTGGACTCATGTCGCTTCCTGGCCACCACCATCACCCAGGACCTCAAATGGGAGCCCACCATCACCACCATCAGAGAAAAGGCCCAGCAGAGGATGTACTTCCTGAGGCAGCTGAAGAAATTCAACCTATCACCACAGACAATGAGGCAATTCTACACCACTATCGAGTCCATCCTCACCATCATTTAGAACAGAGGAAAGAGTCGCAGCGAACTTCACTTCAGTCGCCATATTTATGACAAACTCAGTGTTGTTGTGTGTGACGTACACTACCCAGGGCTGATTATCAGCTCAGCTACATTATACTGGATACATTGTACTGGAAAGGTGAAATCGAAGCCCCCCCATCTCTAGTTAAAGTTTTTTTTTCCACATTTGACATAGATAGCTTATTTTACTCCTGTCAAACCATATATCTTCTCTGTCCAGAATACATGCTTTGTCAGGAGTGTCCCTTGTCCTTCAGGTGTAGGTGGACTGCAGAGTAAACTGTAAACCATTTTACTCTCTGCGGGAGTTCGCCTCATTCATTCTAGGCGCTGTTTACATCCCACCTGATGCGGATGTGCACGAGGCTCAGCGTGCGATCGCGGAAGAGATACTGTGCATGGAGCGGACATACCCGGACTCCCTCATCATTGTACTTGGAGACTTTAACAAAGCAAATCTGAGCCAGGAGCTTCCCAAACATAAACAGTATATCAAATGTCCAACGAGAGAGGACAAAAACCTGGACCACTGTTACAGCACAGTAACGGGAGCCTATCATGCAGAAGCGCGTGCTGCGCTTGGACTGTCTGACCACGTGACCATCCATCTGATCCCAGCTTACAGGCACAGGCTAAAACTCTCCAAGCCTGTTGTGAAGTCAACAAGAAAGTGGAACACTGATGCTGCAGATGAGCTTCGCTTATGCTTTGAGACCACAGACTGGGAGGTAATGAAGGCCACCTCAGACAGTTTAGATGAGTTCACAGATACTGTCACCTCCTACATCCACTTCTGTCAGGACAGCATCATACCATCACACACCAGGGTGAGTTATGACAATGACAAAGCCTGGTTTACCCCTAAACTCAAACAGCTGTGGTTTGAAAAGAGAGATGCATTTAAAAGGGGGGACAAGGACTCCTACAGAGACACTACATACAGGTTCAGCAAAGAATTGGTCAAAGCAAAACAACAGCATCATGACAAAATGCAGCAGCAAATCTCTGAAAACGACCCAACCTCTGTGTGGAAAAGTTTCAGGAACATCACCAACTACAAACCCAGAACCCCCGCCTCCACCGATAACACACACATTCATGAAGCAGATGTAAAGAAGCAGTTCAGGTCTCTTAACACACACATTCATGAAGCAGATGTAAAGAAGCAGTTCAGGTCTCTTAACACACACATTCATGAAGCAGATGTACAGAAGCAGTTCAGGTTTCTTAACACATGAAAAGCCCCGAGCCCTGATGGCGTGACTCCTGCCACTCTAAAGCATAGTGTTTACAAGCATCTTCAACTCCTCACTGGAAGAATCTCATGTGCCTGTCTGTTTCAAGATTTCCACCATA